CCCCCCCCCCCCCCCCCCCCCCCCCATTTATTTTCTTCTTCCTCTCTCTCTCTCTTGAGAGGGGCCCCTTGACCCATCCCATAGCCTAATTTGGTCCTTTATTTTCCTGGTTATTATCCCCCCCATAATTTTGTACCTGGTTATAGAAAAAGATGGAAAAGTTTTCCACAATTATTGGACACACAATGATTTTATTTTTGTCCCTTTTTGTCTATTTTTCCTCTTAATAGTTCATGTGACCAATTTCAAATCTACTCTATTATGCATTGTTTTTAGGTTATCTTGCCTTATGCAAAGATCTGACCACTTGTATTGCTCATTATTGTATATATTTTCCACAATTGTATGCTCTTTTGTATATTGTACTAGTGGAATTGGTAAAAGTAAATATATGCATAAAGCATTTACATCTGCAGTGAGTATGTTTTTGTCTCTCACCTGTGAGTCTGATGTTGTCTGGTGACAGATTACTTTTGGTCTTTGAGATATCTTTGTGAGAAGCCAAAAAAAGGACTACTTCACCCTTCTCATTTTTTATCGGAACTATATCAAGGAGGCACCAGAATGAACCACCTGCAAAGAGAAAAAAACATTCCTTAAATATAAAAATGCAAACCAATACATGGACGTCATGTACAACCTTAGAGCTCAAAGAAATACTTAAACCATAATCAAAATACAATTTTTACATTGTGAAATACACTGCCTCCCCTTACCCCCCTCAAAAAAGTCACAAACTCTCATATTTTGCTGGACCGCCTTCGCCTTTAGCTTTGATCATGGCATGCATTCACCGTGGCATTGTTTCGATAAGCTTATGCAATATCACAACATTTATTTTCATCCGGAGCATTAATTTTTCACCAAGATGTTGTAGTGATAATGGAAGAGTCAGAACACTGTGTAAAGTCTTCTCCAGCACATCGCAAAGATTCTCAGTGGGATTAAGGTCTTGACGCTGTGGTGGCCAATCCATGTGTGAAAATGATGTCTCATGCTCCTTGAACCACTCTTTCACAATTTGAGTCCAATGAATCCTGGCGTTGTCATCTTGGAATATGCCCAATGTGCCATCAGGGAAGAAAAAATCACTTGATGGAAAAACCTGGTCATTCAGTATATTCCGGTAGACAGCTGACCTCATGTTTTGGGGGACGTTGATGAACCTAGTAATTATCCAATGGAAGGTTTCTACCTATTTGCTTAGCTAAACTCAGGTAGTGAGGTTTTATTTTTGGCCAGGCACTGTATAAATGTATATACAGGCACATTTTTTAACTTTTAGTTCAGGATAGTTCTGTGCTTACTGCTGTTCATGACCCAGGTGGACAGATATACCCCATGAGCTCTGCTATGAGCTGTATCTCCTGGTTTCTCTGTCTAAGATGCATTTTATATACATTTGAAGGTAGAAAATGATGGTGTTGCTGGCTACTTGTGGGTTTTCTAAAGGAGTATATAGAAGATACAACAGGAAGCTCACAGCAAACCCTTTAATATCACCACATGATGATTAGTGTGCTTTCCCTGTTTGGAGCACAAACAGCAAAAAAGTTCTGAAAGTGGGTTCACTTCAGGCTAATCATACATAGACAGGAAATACTACACAATGCAAACATTTCCAGAGTAATCAAGAGATATTGTCCTTGTGTATGGAGTGTGAATGATCATATCACCATGGAAATCAGCCTCAGACCTGCTCATTATTAATAGGCGAGATAGATTGTTAGTCTGGGATCATATACTCTACACTTCTGCTAAAGAAAAGCTTGAATCTTTTCATATATAACCCCACTTGAGGTCCAGACCTGCCGCCAGAATTCTGGTATTTTGTAAATGGTGCAGTTTTTTAAATAACACGCAGTCCGACTAGCCAAAAGGCACCTCGGCAAGAGAGTATAAGCACAAATGTGGATTAGAGAGATGATCACAGAGATGAGCATAAAAGAGTTTTCCTTTCGCATAATGCAATAGAGATCAACTCACAGCAGATTTTAGGTATCTTCTGCTGAATTAGTGATTCCAAAAAAAAGTATTTGGTGCCCGTTCTGTTGCAGAAGAGCTACTGTATGTAGCTTCTAGTATGTGGGAGCAAAAAATGCTGATGGAATTAATTTAATGTTGTCCTACATTCAATAAGCAATGCATTTTTTCTCTATCCTTGTAACGTATTCAGTCAGTATTCACTACTATTATTTGGACTGTTTCTTTATACATAGATATTTTTTCATCTCTGTTTACCTCTTTTTTTTATTCAAAAACTATTTTTCTGTTCTGACTAAAGACAAGTTATGATGGTTAACCGTTTGCTTCTACAGCCTCTTCCTTTTCTGTGCAACTGGTTGATCACATTAGTGTCCCTAACATTATATGGCACACGGGTACATATTTTATGAAAAATTCTTTCTCCATATGCTCACTACCCCATCTCCTGACACATGCCTGAACTCTGATAGTACAACTTAAAATATTTTCCATTGCCTACAACATCATACTGTAGCTGAGATATTTAGTGACACAGCACGTGTGAATTGTTGCCAATCCTTTCCTCTTTGCATCCTTTCTCATTTCAGCATCCTGGTCAAGCACTCCCACTATCAACCTCGTTTTAAATTTCTGTAGGTGTGCAGAAGATAATGGGAATTCAATATACAGAAGCATAAGGGCTATTAATACATTTTCTTTTTCTGCCAAATCTTCTCATAGATAACAAAGTGACATTTATCTTTTCTAGTCTAGTGTGGCAGTGAATGGCAATGCTACTATGTTGTGTGGCAAAATGGTCACTCAGGACTCCCAGCAAGAAGGGCTGAGCGGTTCCAGGAAAGTACTTTTACCAGGAAAGAGCTGGCTTTACAAGTTTCTGGGTTTCCTGGATTATAGTTGGGATCCTGGAGGCAGGAGATTTCTAAGAGAACTGGGAGGGAATAAATCACCATTCCTGGGTCCGGGCTTTAGTGGTGACCAGCACCAAATGATGGTGCAGGTTCAGGTTCTGGGTTCCAGTTGGAAGACAAGGGAGGTATCTGTCCAGGAGTCAAGAGGACTCCATCCTGGAACCAGCCTATGTGGCACGGCAGCTGGATACAGCCTGTGTGGGAAAGGTTTTTAGTGATAACCTGAAGTCTGGGAAACTTGGAAAAACATTATTTGGCTGTACATTATGTTTGAAGACCCCTGCGAGGGAAAAACCTGTGTGGACTTTTATGTTTGAATTAATAAAAGTGGGCAAAGAAGCCCTTAGAAAGACGTGGTACGCTAGTGGACTCTGTCCTTAAAGTGCTACCATTGGAAGCTACATAACTCACTGTGCCTAAGGTAATAAATCACAGACAGACAACTATTCAAAACTTTCTCTACACTTGGTTCCTGTAAAACATTACTGTTTAGAACTTGAATTCTGTGTCTCAGAACACAGTGGGTGCAAATATGGTCATTAGTTATAGACATTTCCATTTAATCAATCTTCAATAACTTCATAACACTCCGTCTTACTTACTAATGCATTTCAGTCACAGCAGAACAAATTTCTAAAAGTCAGCTTCCTCTTAGCTATGAAATTTGGAAAGCTGCTGGATATCAGTACATTTTATGTTCTCTCTAGAATAATATATATCTAACAACCACATTCCATTTTTTTCAGTTTCCCTGTGTATCATAATACTGAATAGCATTGTGTACTATTTTCTTTTATTCTAAAGGTAACATACAGTAAATGAAAGGTCCATATTACAACACCGTGTTTTGGATTACTGAAGCCCCTTGATGGTACAGCTGTGCGAACTTCTTCTGGCCTCTTTTTTGAGATGAAAGACATAGCGAAATGGGCACCGAAGGGGTTAAAATGTCAAAAGGTTTTTAAGCTATTTTTAATGCTGTCTAAATTACTTATGATGGATGCTGCTTCTTGATTTTTAAAAGCTTTAGTTTTCTGCAGAATCAGCTGCTCCCTGGAGCAGTGGTCCTAATATCCTGTGGCTCCTTTCCCTTGCAGGGTCCTATGGAGTCTCCCTTGTGTATGCTAGAAAGCTGTGTGTGTCTCCGCAAACACACAGACACAGCAAGGGAAGCCACTCCCCTGCTTCCTATTTTTCCCTTCTCCAGACTAGTAGATGGAGACTACTGTGTCCTTTGGTTTTGTACTCAACAGGAAGTTCAGGGAAGCCGAGCCCAGAGAGTTGGAGTCAACCGTTTGGAAACATGAAGACTGTAAATGATTGGGCAAAAATGTAAATATGTTCCTGGGCAATGTATATTTGTTTGTTTGAGAGTTTATAACTACTAAGAGACTACTAAGCTTGTTACAGTGTAGTGCATGGTAGGGTGGAGCCTATAGCTGTACTCAAGGTGACACCTACAAACAAAAACATTCCCCTTGGGCTGCCTAGCTGTTAGGTAGATCCTTGTATATAAAGATTTTCTTACTTAACTGCAAAAATTGCATATCTGTTCCAAATCAGTGATTTAGAAAGTACTGAAGTTAGCATTTTTATAAGGAGTGTGATATAATGCGATGTAGTGTATCATGATAGGGTTGGGAATCGTTGTCCTATATTACATTATGACATGGTGCTGTTGGAATGTTTAAAAGGCTGTTTTATTTCATTATATAACAATATCGATTGATGGATCTTCTTGTCCCACTTTTTTGTATAATATCATGAGTGATGTAACTTGTGAATGAAGTTATTTTAAGAGGCTCCACCTGCGATGATGATATGTGTGTTTATATAAAGATTCCTCTTGGGACCGCCCAGGAGCAGTAAAGTACAACCATTGTACAGGTACAATAGTCTTTCCATCCTGGGAATGTTGTGAGTTCCTCCCAGCTACCTTCTGGGAAGACTAAAGCTACCCACACACCTTACAATTTATCTGCAGAGTTTCTGTGATCAGATGGAAAAGGTGCAACAGATTCCTCCATCTGCACTTAACTGTGTGGATGGAGTAATCTCCACCTGGGCCAATCTGTTGCACTTTTTCCATCTGACCACAGAAAATCTGCAGATAAATTGTAAGGTGTGTGGGCACCTTAAGTCACCAGTGACTTCCAGGCAGCTCCCCACAGCTGAAATTTTAATCGATCTTGTTTATTTCTACATAGATTTTATTTTGCAGAAATCACTGTCCAAATCTCATGTGTGCAGGAGGCAAATACATTTAAATGAATTAGTTAACAAAATCCAGGGTGCAGATGGGAGGGAAGCTCTAAAGCCATGAGTTGGATATTGCAAATGACTGATGGTTTTCTCTACCCCCATGTGACAGCATTTGGTGCCTAAGTGGATAACCAGCAAGTACTAGGGCTCTTCACTCCCCAGGACTAAGTGGAGCAGTAGGGGGATGCAGAATATCTAAGTACATGCAGCTGGGGAGCAAAGAACAGGTCCACTTTAACTCATATATATAAAACGAAATTGGAAGACAATACATCCCTTAACAGAAAAAATCCAAAAACTGAAATTTATTTTAAAACATTACTCAATATAATACTTTTAGCCCTTGTAAAAAAAGTAAGGTGTTTCTTTTTGGTAGTAAATCTTCAAGCATGCCCTGAAAAAATCTAAATATAG